TAGTGCAAGTGGGCCTGACGGTGAATGGCAGTCATGGCAGGCTCCTGGCAGCCGTACAAGACCGGAGAGTGGCTGCTGTTTGGCATTGGAAGAGGAGATTTGTCACATTTTTCATGGGCGCAACGCACATACTCAGCTCTGCTGCTCATCCCACTGATGCATGTTCCTCCCAAATGTGGCACCATTTGAAAGGTAAGAACTTTCCAACGGTATAAGATTTATGGCCAAGAAGCATTGTTACAACAAAGAAATAAGGTGCAGTCAGTAGAGTGCCGATCTTTCCAGGTGTCTCCCCCTCCTCCCAAACAAAGAAGAGTTAAATCTGACTCAATTCTCCATCCTGTCTCCCTTGAAGTCAACATGGTGGAAAATAAAACAGATTTTTTTCACGTTCTCTCATACCTTACTTTTGTGGATCGTAACAAATCAGGTTGTTGTTTCCATTCAAAATGAGTGCTTCCATTCAAAATGAGAGCTAACTCTATTGGTGTAATTTCTTTAGCCACGGCAAAGGCCAACTTTAACCTGTAACACACAGGGAAGGCTTGCTTTGAGCCAGCGGAGTGCTGGTCACTGTGTTATCAAACAGTCAATTGCATGATTTCACCAATTGTAATTCACAGCCAACACTGATCAAACAGTCTGATGGGTCCAGTGGTATGCATGTTCAGCTGTGGACAGAAACACATGTATAAACACCGGCTTATGCCTGGTGGAGATGATGAAGACAATAAATACACACAAATAGTCATTCAAATGTTCACATTAGTCACATCAAATAGACAGGTTAGAGTTAGAAATAAAACAAGAGGTAATATGTAATAATTATACATAATTATATGGTCAAGCAGTATTTCACTTTTTTGCACCACAACTTATGGTGCAATTTAACACATTATGAGAGTGTTGGCAGAAGAGATGCTGGAAATACGTTGGCTTGAAATTCATGTTTCCTTTGACCGCAGGTACACCACAAAAGTTTTGATGACTTACTCATTGAAGTATCGTATGTTACAAGACATAGAAACTGACTTCCTTAAGCTTTAGAGCTGTTGAATATTCACTGCAGTGTTTATTTATTTGAGTCATCACTCACTTCTCTTGAATGTCTTGATCTTGTGACCCAGGTGGTGTTCCGCTCCACGTCTGCCATGGTGTACATCTTCATCCAGATGAGCTGTGAGATGTGGGACTTTGACATCTATGGTTAGTTGAGCCTCTCACATTGTGTAAGCAGGTTTGATCTGTTTATGTGTATTCATCAGTGATATTAATGTCCTGCTTTCAGGTGATCTGTACTTTGAGAAGGCTGTAAACGGCTTCCTGTCTGACCTTTTTGCCAAGTGGAAGGTTTGTGATTTCTTCTCTTTTTTTCTCTTTTGTTGTAACATCTTCTTTCAAATATGAAACAACAGCAGTGTTTTGATGTTAACACAGGAGAAGAACTGCAGTCATGAGGTGACAGTGGTACTTTTCTCACGTACATTCTACAACGCCAAGACTGTTGGTGAGTGTTTCCTATGTTGTTACCAGAGGTAGAAGAAGTATTCAGATTCAGATTTACTTCAGTAATGGTATAAATACTTTGGCTTAAAAATACTCTATTATTACTAAAAGTCCTGATTTTCTAAATATCAGTTGAAGTGCAGAATTATGATCGACCAAATATACTTAAAGTATCAGAAGCACCGATTATGCACAGTGGGTCTTTTCAAAGTATTATATTTTTAGGGATATTATATTATCTTGTTCATTGCTTACAAATACATGTAAGAGAATTTAAATGTGTCAATTTGAGGCAATTTCAATTTTTCAATTTGAGGCAATTTTGGATACTTATAAATATCATATAAAAAGGCTAATGTGTATTTATGTAGTGGAGTGAAAGTTTAATGAAGCATATAATAGAAATACTCAAGTAAAGTACCATTATGACAAAACAAAACAAAACTTAAGTCCCATGTCATGCTTTTCCGGTTATTACCCGTCCCCTTGTGTGTTATGAAGGTTTTTCTGCATGTAAACGGGTCAAAAACCCTCAAAGTAAACCCTGTAGCGAGTAAAACTCTAACACAGAAAATACCTGTCTATGCTGCCCCAGAATGCCTCGTTGGAGATTTCTTCCGGGAACCAAGTGACGTAACGACGACCAAATGAACCCATTGGTCCAAATGGACCAATCCGTGGAGCTCCTCACACACACACACACTCTCTCAGCGGCGAAACTGTGACGCGCTGGGGGGGAGGGTGCTAGTGGAGCCTCGCAGCGGCGAAACTGTGGCGTGCTTACACTGTAGGTGCACTGCGTTTGGGGGTGCGGGGGGGGTGCGGGTGCTAGTGGAGCCTCGCAGATGGGGGTGCTGCAGCCCCTTCAGCACCCCCCCTTCCCGCGTCCCTGGTGCTCAGGCTGAATTCAGGCTGAGTTCAGGCTGAGTTTCGCGATGGCTCACTGTCCCGCAGACCCCACGCAGCAAACAGGAAACGACACCAGTAACCCAGCTCACACTGTCCGCTCCAGCAGCGAGCCGCGCAAAGTCCCGCCAATACGGCACCCAGACCCCACGCAGCATTCTCATCTGTTTGTCATTTTCTGGTTGCTAACGCCATTGTAACACATAATCACTGATTTTCCGCTGTAACGGTGGTGGATTCATCAGAACAGAGTGGGCGAGCTGACCAATCAGAGCACAGTGGGCTCATAGGGAG